TAGTATTGATTGAATTTTTTTTTTGTTAGCATTAGTATTGATTTGATTTTGCTTTGAGCTTTATTTAAGTTACTAACTTTTATGGGCTATAAAAATAATTCAAAAGTTCTAAATCCAAGCTTGAAATAATACACTAAAAGAGAGAACTATGAAAAAATTTAAAAAATATTTATAAATTATATTATAATTATTATTTTTATGTATAAAATAATATTAAAACTTGTATACATGTAATGTCAGGTTGATTTGGTTTCGGTTTGATTTTTTTTAGTTAAAACCAAACCAAATCAATTATGGTCGTTTTTTTTTTCTAACACCAAATCAAATCAAACCAAACCATAGTTGATTTTTTTCTCTCGATTTAACTCGGATTATCGGTTTGGTGCGTTTTGTCGGTTTTTTTTCTACGGCCCTACTTATCATATTTAATTATTCACGGTACGGAGTCCAAATCAGAAAACGTTCTTTCTGTTATGCATTAACACCTAGACAACTCTTAAGATGGTGCTTCCACATGGTAATCCATTAATTCACTTAATGGAGTGAAGAATATGTTGCTTTCTACTGAAATGACTTCATTGCTCTCTTGTGATTGTGCGGTTTGCAAAAATTTCGACTTTGCAAATGATGAATTAATCCATTTATAACACTCTGTATCTCATATGCCTTGTTTCAAGTGGGGTTAAGCATTTGTTATAATTGTCATTCGAACTTAAAGTTTGAAGTGATAAAAGTATTACGGAAGACGTTAATGTAAAAAAAGACTATTATTTAAAAATGGAGGTGCGATCATACAAAATTAGACAATATTAAAAATAACCGTATTCATCAAAAGGTGTAAGTAGCCCGTATTGAGAATAAAATGATGGAAAGTCGCTTAAGATGGTTTGGTCATATTCTACGTCGACCTATAGATACACCAATTCATAGGCATGAAACTATGCTAAATGAATGTATTCAAAGAGGACGAGTTAGACCTAAAATTACGTAGAAAGAAGTTCTCTCGGAAGATCTACAAACTCTTAGATCTCAATGTAGATTTAACTAAAGATAAGGCATAATGGAGAAATTTTATATATATATATATATATATATGTGTGTGTGTGTGAGAGAGAGTGAGAGAGAGTGAGAGAGAGATATTTACTAGTTGTTGGGAATAGATTTTAGTCTTGTCACATAACTTTTCAAAATAATTATTATTACAATACTTATATATTGTTAACACATTTTCACTATATTTTATTTGTTTAAAATACTAGTGGGAAAAGTTTGTATTTAAAGCCTCTATTATTTTTTATGGTATTCGATATATGCTTTGAGGTCCGACTAATCTGGATTGGTGTTGTAAAGTTTTACTTTATGGATAAAATATTTTTTATCAAATACGACTTTATATCCAAGGCTCGAACCCGAAATATATCTAATTAAAAATGAAATAATATTTGTTATTTTACCACCAACTTTTGATGGTGTTCTAAAGCCACTATTAGACCATTATAAAGGTGAGGAAATCTCAGCAAATATGTGGACAGTAAAACAACGTATTTCATTAAAATATTTACTATATAGTATCTCTGCACCATCTTTCAAATTTGAAATTCAAATTCATAAAATGGACATGAATCCAAAATATGCTCCAATAATTGTGACACTAGAAGGTGCATATTATTTCTTTATAAAAACAGCATCCCATGGATTCAGAATTTAAAAGTTCAAATTCAAGACATAAATACAAAATGAACACTCAATCTGCTCAAATAATTGAAACACACCGTATAAAATCTGCTTTTCTTTTCAGATACAAAGTCAAATTAAGCTCCCAAAAAAAAATATTGTTTTTCTAACAAAATGTATACAACAACAACAACAACCCAGTATAATCTCACTAGTGGAGTCTGGGGAGAGTAGTGTGTACGCAGACTTTACCCCTACTCTGGGGTAGAGAGGCTGTTTCCAAATGACCCTCGGTATCCTTCCCTCCAAGAACTCCCCACCTTGCTCTTGGGGTGACTCGAACTCACAACCTCTTGGTTGGAAGTGGAGGGTGTGCTTACCATCAGAGCAACCCACCCTGTCCAAACATAATTTCAACTTTCAAAAATTATTTTTTAATATAACTTTAAAAACTCTTTTTTCAAGTTTTTAACTAAATTTATGTCCAAAAGCTAGCTAAGTGTAGTTACTCTCTGAAAAAACGATTTGATTATATGCATAAAGTATATTAAAATAGCTCCATTTCGAAAACTCAAATTCAGGTTGTGGGACCAAATTCAAGAATCCACAAGGACAAATTTTGCAGTATTAATTCAATGAATCTGTTTGAAATCTTGATTGATAGAGAAAGACTTGTTTTTGTGTAAACTTAAAAACTATTTGGCCAACTAATCCTTGAGAAAAAATGATAAAGGGATTCCTTGTTGTTCATAAAGTCAAAATTTTGAATGAAAAACTTATACACTAACTATTTTAAGGTTGGTTTTGTCAAATGCTTTAGTCAAATAATTGCTATTAGTTTGTTGAATTCCAGATTATGTGGTAGGATAATATATAATTGGAATATGCTTCTCCTGATTTCTGCACAATACTTTGTGGACTTTGCTTAATTGGTTGAAGAGTTTAAGTAATTGGTCCAATTGATATATTAATTAATAATTATCTTTTCCACCAAAAAAGAATGGTCTTGTTAATTTATTTCCCTGTGGAAAAATTGAATAAGTGGGAAGTGTCATTGTGGAAGGTTGTAGTATACACGCCAGTATTTGCACCAAATCAAATATTAATCTTAATTGTAAAAATAAATTACTTAGCTTATTCTGAATTTAAACTTAATTACAGGTTAAAGCCAAATTCAAAATTTAAACTTAATGGAGTATAAAGGTTCTTAGACTGCACTTATACTTGTAAAATTGTGAATTTAAATTTTAATATTTATTAAAATTTTAATATTTTTTTACACAAATATTTATATTTCGTATTAAAAATATTGGATTCAAGAACATATTGCACAAAAAAAGGCATTCCCCTTTACAGGTTCCCTCGGGGCAATACATTTGCTATTCAACTTTAACGAGGGAGATGAAATTAATTCAAATTAAATTACTCTCTACCATGAAACCCTATATTGGAAAATTAAAAATACCAAGATAATAAAAATCATAATATAAATTTTATGTGACACGAATCTGAATTAGTTAGAGCTTCAAAACGAATATCATACATCAGGTAAAAAATCATAAAAATATATAATACACTCTCTTATTTAAAAAATAGTGAAATTCAACGTATGAGAATCCAAATATCTAACTATCGAAGTAACTTTGGATATCTATCTTCTATTTTTTCTATGTTACTAATATTTTTAAGAGAGCCTCAAATGGAATTTTCTACTGTCCCTCCAAGAAAAGGAAAAGTTTGTATTTTTTGATAATATCTAAGATGTACTTTATCCTTCTAGCTCAATTGTGTGGGTTTAAAATGCATAAAAAGGATTTGGCTCAATATATATTCACGTGAGTTTTGGAAGGTACATAACTTCATGTTATTCGAATTTTATTGAGAGAAGATCTTCAAAATATGACTTTTTTTTTCTTTTTTTTTTATAGGGAAAATCCATTTTTGCTATTATTTTCCATTTTTTTCAAACAATATAACCTAGTTGGACAGTACGGACACCTAGTAAAGGGGTATTATTACTTTTAACCTGCGCCATAAACTATTTACATCTGGTAGCCGAAAAAGTGTATAAAATTTGTATATAACATACAGAATATATATATATATATATATATATATATATAAATTTTATATATTTTTTCGACTATTATTTTTATAGCGGCTATACAGTGTCATTTCCCCCCTAGGAAATGATGTAAAATGGCCCAGCTTTCTGCCAAGTATTGGGCTTCTCATGTGTAGCCCAAAAAGATGGCCCAGCTTCCTACCTTGTCCAAGATTCAGATAGAAATGACACCAAATAGCCACTCTAAAGGACTGCTATTTAGAAAATAGTCAATGTATCCTGAATTTCAGTTTTTCTGATAAATTTTTCAGGACACAAATGTTTTGAATTATCCTGAAATTAAAATTTTTATTTTAAATTTTTAGTTAAAAATAAATGCCGGTTAATCCCTAAATAGCAGTCCTAAGAATGACTTTTTGTGTACTATACCATTTTCATTTATAAGCATTCTAAGAAGGACGTTTTTCATTTTAGAGAAGTGGTAATCATACTATTCTCTTCGTATAACTATCTTGCACATTTTGACTTTGAACAAAAAAAACGTGGAATGAGAATAGTAGGAGGAGCACAACGAACAATAGAAAAAGCTACAAAACTTCCACTTTTCTTCAATTAAGTATATTACAGTTTTTTTTAAAGCAGGAGAAAAAGTTTTTGAGAAATTTTCTTTTTTCAATCAAATGTCATTTAGAGAAATATTTTTTCAGTTTTTGCAAATACTATTAGTTAAAATTCTTTTTGCAAAAACTGAAGACGTATTTCGAAAATAAAAAAAGCATCCTTGTAACTTAATGCTTGAGAGAAGAGAATATAGTCACTAGATGAAAGTTTGACTGGTCGTATTCGCTGGTAAAGTTGCTACTTTACAGTTAAAAAGTTAAATGTACCAAGGAATCCCACAGTTTCTTCAGCCTTCTACGTAAAATTATTCTAAAAACAGGTCATTTGCGCCAAATGATAATTATATGCATATCTTTAATGCACATCTAGGACCTAATATTTACATAAATAGTCACTCGGATTCACTAGCTACATTTTCTAACAAATACACATAAAAATATATTGATTATAAACAGTTATACATATATTATACATAAGTTATAGTATATATATTAAGTGGTTGAACACGAGAGGCTACTTAGGTTAATTTTCTCCAATAAAATAAAAATATACTATATATTCATACATATGCCTAAAGCAACTATAGAGTTCCGACGTATTTTTTACTAAATTTGCTCAATTTGGTAAAACTTACCACACAAAACAAAAAGTATGACTTACAATAGCGACTTACAACAGCACAACATTTACAAAATTTACATGCCCTGACTTCAGGACATTGAGTGAACTATTACAACTTATTCTTTGTTTTCTTTATTGGTTTATAACTAATTAATATAGCCTATTGAAAATATAGTCCTGCAAAATTGTATATATAGTTGCAAGAACATATAAAAATAAAGTTGGAAGCTGATGAAATCCAAGTAGATTTTGAAGGTATTCACACCAATATTATGTGGAACTATACACAACGATTTCACCTCTTCTTCTTTCACCTCCATATGCAGTATTCTAGACTGAAATTAACAACAAAAAGGAGAAAATAACATAAGCAAACAATATGTTTTAAGAGTTTAACCTCTTTACACAGATATTATTGTAAAAAAACATATACTGTAAAGTCACCTAAAATTTACTATAGGTAACTACTATTCATAAAAACTAGGATTAGTAACTTGAAAAATAATGCAGATTACAACTACAATATGTTAAATAAAACTTTTACATTTTCAATGTATATTTAACTTACATATACTTTTTTTTATAAACTATCAATATATTTTAATTAATTGTAGCATGTAATATGTCTTATTTTTCTTTCTTGATTACTAACCCCCTTTTATTAAACGATTACCTGTAAATTATCCTTTAAATGCCAGATAGTATAAAAAAAAATGTAAAAGGAAAATTCTTTTAAGCTATGAAATTAGTATAGAAGTTAAACTTTTTTTTAGGATATGTAATAGAAAGAAAGAAGAAGGGGACTCCGTGTGACCTACAGGTCACAGATTCGAGCCGTGGAAGCAGCCACTAATGCTTACATTAGGGTAAGCTGTCTACATCACCCCTTGGAGTACGGCCCTTCCCCGACCCTGTGTGAACTAATGCGGGATGCTTTGTGCACTGGGTTGGGCTGCCCTAATAGGAAGGAAGAAGAAACATCTAAATGGTTACCTGTTATATGCAGGAGAGGAGCTATAGCAGCAAATATTGCAGGGTTGTATAAGACTCTAGTGCATTTGACCGTCTGTACAATAGAGAGGTGTGCATATATCATAGGGACCAGTGGATATGTGACAAATATTGGAGTTGAAAATCCGGCCATTGTGAGTAACATTATTCTCATGAGTAGAAGCAGCAACCATATTTGGATCTTGATATATAATACTATTGAACTTTACATCTTGATCACTTGTGTCCTCTTCATGATTTCCATAAGAATTTGCTTTACTTGCAGCTTCCCCAAATTCATCATTTCTTGCAAATCTTCCCCTCACTCTTGGCCTGCTGTCTGCTAGTGTTTTTCTGCATGCATACTGCAGAATTTGGCTTCCAAAATCAAACTCAAGAAAAAATATTGCAGACGAGTTTAACTTTTATATCGTGATAGTATATAAGAATTTTTACACTATCAAATTATTCATACTATTCAATATGTAGGTAAAGTTGATATCATGTGACCAGGGGGTCACGTGTTCGAGCTGTGGAAACAGCCTCTTGCAGAAATGCAGGGTAAGACTGCATACAATAGACCTTTGTGGTCTGGCTCTTCTCCGGATCCCGCGCATATCGGGAACTTAGTGCACCGGGTTGCCTTTTTTTTTTTTAACTCAATATGTAGGTAACATACTACTCAACATATTAAAAATAATTAAAATTCTTTATACTGTGGATGTACACAAGTTAAATCTAAGTTATAAGAGGGGATATAGACCTTGATTTTCTTGCTGAAATTCCTCTCATTTCGTTTCTTCATGTATCTATGAATCTTCTCCCTCCTATCCTCAACTGAACACCTGCCAGTTTTATTATAGGAAGGATCTTCAAAGGTTGTAACTTCTGCAGCCAAAGGGTTAGAACAACCAACAGCACTAACCAAATGCTGACTCTCATTGCTGATTGCCTTCATTGGAAAAAATGGAAAAAAAAATTGTTTTTAACAAAAATCACTAAATAAAAGATAAATAAGTAACTAAGTTTCACTAAAAATTAAAATCAATACCTGAAGCTCAATAGAACAGTTATAGATCCTTGGCAAGGCATCAGGGCAGAAAATTCTACTATTCCCTTCTTGAAATTCCAATTCTTGATTTGGCAATTGGGATCCATAGAACAAAGCACTATTAGCAGCAGCAGCAAATATAGCTGAAGCTTCAGAAGGGATTATAGTGTTAAGATTTCCTTGAATGTAATTTCCTATAATAGGATCAAGAAGTGAACAAGAAGGAGATGAAGTAACGACGCGCATGTAAGGAGGAATAGAGGACAACGATTCCTCTTCGTAGAGATGGCCTAATGAAGATCCCATAAGAGGAACGATAGGAAAGTGATTTTGATGATACTGATGAGACAAGGGAACAGAAATAACATCTGTGACAGGGGAATGGTGATTGTTAAGAGGATTAACGTCGAATTGTTCGTCTTGTTGTTGAAGGAAATGGTCAGGGACAATGAAGTTTGTGGATGGTGTGATTGTGAAGTCTATAGAAGTAGCAATGTCATTCTCAATTTCCTCTTGAGTATCAAATATTATCGACAGACTGTTACTGTTGTTGTTGTCGTCGTAATTGTTGCTATTGTTAGCTCTAGACGGGCTAACATTGGTTGTGCTGGTGGCTGCTCTGGTTGAGATTGTGATAGTGTCATCATTCTTTTCACTAGTGCTTTGGAATTTGTTTAGATCAAGATTTGGACTATAAGAGGACTGCTCATCATAGCAGCAGCCATTTGAACTAGAAGCAACTTCTGAATTTTGTATTTCTGGAAAAAATTCAGACTCACAAAAATTCAGAATTTGATCACTTAGGGGACTTGGCATCTCTTCCTGCAAAAATAAAACAAAAAAAATAATCAAATTCCCTGACCCCATAATAGCTTCAATTTCTATAACAAGAAAAAGACTTATTAGCAACATTTATTCTACTACCTTCTCATAGAATAGAATCATATTTGTTACGTATATTAGCTAAAAACCATCTTTTTTGTCATGCAAATTGCACGGAACTCGAGGAATGTCTAACACTTTCATGCGTTTACTTAAAGTTCTTGGCATCTAAATTGTACAAAAAGGAGATGAATTCTCAAGACGAGAGGATCATGTTAGTGAAAGCAATATTTCAAAACATGAAAATAGAGTAAAAGAATCCAAAGTTAGACAAGCAACTAATAGGAACTTTATGTAGCACTAAAAGCCTACTATGATAAGCATGTGACTTGTCTCTACAATTATAAGTTCCTTTCAATAAAGACTTCTTATAGAACATTAGAAACAGAATAATTTTTCATAGTTAAAGAACTTGAGTAATAAACTTGAAAAGATAAATATTCTATTGTAATCCAAAATGGGAAATGGAAAATGATAGGTTGGTCAGCCACCCTTTTGAGATAGAAAAAATCTTTAAAAGAAAAAAAAACATTAAAAATGATTAAATCTGCTTAGTCATAAAACCTTCTAGTAATACTTTTATGATAATTAATGAATGAAAAATCTAGCAAAAGCTTAGTAGAACATTTGAATACCAAAAACATATAGAGTAAATTTTTCATCACCATGCATGCAAACAGTATGAATGAAAAAATGAAAGCAACAACATGAAGATAAATTGTTAAAAGAAAAGATTAAATTTACAAATAAACACAATTAAGACAAAGAAAAGGTAGTTAGTATGATCTAATTCAAGATCTTGAAAAATATTAAAGAGGAAAAGTAGGATAATAAGAGAAATAGAGAAAAAATAATATTCAACTCTCAAGAAACCATTTCTATGAAAAACTTGAATCCTGTTTGTACGTGTAAAAACCTATAGGAAATCAACATAACTTGTTAACAGTTTTTTTGAAACAAAAAAAAGCTTTATTTTAGCTAAAAAGGAACTATATATGGGATAAATAAGCAGTATACATAAGAAAGTTGATGTTCTTGAGGATGAAGCATCATGTCCTGCAACATTTTTTTTTTTTTTAATATTAATTTCTTAAGCTTGAATATTTACACTGAAAAAATATAACTAAACAAAGAAACCTGTGATTACCACCTTTTGTGTTACCTTAATGAAACTCATGTTTGTAACCAAGGGAAGAGAGAAATCCATGCAAGAAAAATAGGATGGTTTTTTTTAGACTGGAAAATAGAGAGAAAATTGGATTATGAAAATAAAGAAGACGGCTTATGTAACTTTGTTTTGGGGGGATTATAACATGAAAAAGTTGGGGGTTGGTCGAAATGGAAATACAAAGGTACGTTAGTTATATAGGTTCATGGATTGACCGTACATTCGAGTCAAACCGAGGTTGTCGGTGGGCCACTCAGTTTTTGGAACATTTCATGGTTTTGTGACACGTGGAAGGATGTCTATCTGGCATTTTGATTTTCTTTTTATTTTTGCAATGCTAAATGCGAAAGATAAAATCATAAAAGACCCAACCTGGTACAGTTCTAGTATTTAAAAAAGGGATCGGACTTGCTTCGCAACATTATCTTGCCAAATAGTAGATTTTTTAGCTATTGAACTGTTATTACACGAATGGGAAAATCGCCGGCGTATTTGAGTACAAAATTTATCTTTAAGTTTTACCTTATTCTGATCGTTCAGAGGAAGATCGAGAGGAAGATCGAGAGATCGTTGAATGGAATTCCTCCGTTTCTTTCTGAGGTGCTGACCTATCAAAATGATTGACATATGAAATATGACAATGACAACGACACCTCGAAATGAGATAACATGCATGTTTCCTTATACCTCACTTTTGCACCAAGCAAATTCATGTAAAACATATGTTTGCATTCCACTTAACTATAATTAAGTGATGTGTATATGCAATTTAATTAATTTGTGACTGATCTAATGGTTAAACTAGTGATTTGATGTGAATACTAGGTGTGTATAAGTATTTTTCAAAACAGAATTATTGGACAGTTTGATGAGTTGATTAGCTAATTAATATGCTTAAATTGTGTTGACCTATCGAATTTCTGAGTTTTTTCAGTCAAAGACATCGAGAAGTCACTAAGCAAGACTATCCAAATTCGAAATAAGCAGCTCTTTAGAGAGAAATTTATTGTTACTTTATATAAAAAAGGTCAGTTTTATTCCACAATAATTTAGTCGTGTGTGTGTTAATACTATTTGCCTACTTTTGTAAAAGATGGCTTTTGGAATAAACGTTTGTGAAAGCGATACCAATTCCTAGTTTGGATATGTAATTTAGCATTAGCTGAGTGCATGCTTTTCGAATATTTCTTCAATTTTAGATGTAGGTGCTTTTGGTACAGTGGAAGTTCTAATATTACTGTACTAACTACCAAAAAGTGGCTACATTAGTAAACATTATAAGCAAGGGACAAGAAACTGAAAGCACTTTAAAACGCAAATCCTAATACGTATAATTCACCTATTAGTAAGAATCTTCATCCTATGCATGGTTGATTAAAGAAAATACTAACTGTACTAACTCCTAAAAGTGGCTACAAAAGTAATAAACATTATAAAAAGGGGGGAAAAGAAACTAAAAGCACTTTAAAACACAAATCCTAGTACGTGTAATTCACCTTTTGGTAAGAATCTTCATCCTATGCATGTTGATTAACGAAAATACTTATTTAACTATATGATCAATTATTTGGAAAGAGAAAATAGGTACAAACGAGTAATATGATTTTGTTTACCTGTTTAATGTCCGATACCTATATTAGAATCTGATTATTCTGAATTCGTGCCATGTAAGGTCCATTTAGGGGACACTCTCTATTAATACTTTTTTCAATCTCAAGGCTCGAACACGAAAATTTTAATTGAAAATGGAGAGTTTGTCACGCCCTAACCTCGGGGAGCGCGACCGGATCTCAACCGAGTGAACCCGGTCGAACAAGCCTATTAAACCTTTCCTACCCGACTCATTCATAATCCAAAAAGGGATCGCATCACCATTTGTAAAACAGGCGAGAGATCAGTTATATAAATATATAAACGTTGCTAGTTCATTTTTTTCTTATATACATTATGTCATAGTTGAGTTTTCAAAATACAACTCGATCCAACGACCACCCCAACATACATACATGACCCACATAAACGTCTACGGAGCCTCTAAGGGTACAAAAGAGCAACATGACAATGCCGGCAACAAGGCCCCGGCTATACCTCAAAATATGGAAACTTATACAAAAGAAGAACTACATGACCCCTGGGAGAAATGAGGATCACCGAGACTGCTGTGAGGAGAGAAAGAGAGCACCACTATCTGCGATCGATACTATCTGCGATTGAACCACCTACATCCATTCAAAGATGTAGCGCCCCCGGCAAAAGGGACGTTAGTACTGTCGAATAGTACTAATATGTAAGGCAAACACCAATCTTAGTAGAATGAGCAGTGAAACAAAGAGAAGATAATCATAATAATCAATAAGTACTTCATAGAAATACAAAGAAATACCAAGTAAGGATCACATAGTTTCCAATTCAATCTTTTCATCTTTTTAGATTAATAATCTTTAGTGCCAAAGCTACAACTCACAATGCCACCGTATTTTTACACGGAGTTCGGTCTCGGCCCGACCGGCTAAGCCATCTTAAGTGAGACATATCCATATCTACCATGTAAATCAATAATTCTAACACAAATGCCACCATGTGTACAACATGGCGTCCGATCTTGGCCCGATCGGCTAAGTCATCTCACTTGAGACATAACCTCTTTCAATTGTTCACCCAATTCACATTTCTTTCCCATCTTTCGTTATGGCACAAACAACCTCATTTATTAAGTATTTCTTGGCACTTGGGAATATTTTACAATTCAGGTCTTTTCCTTTTTATTTGTTCAAATAACATCATCATTCATGTCGATAAGTACCATCACATAAGGCATTTCACACATAAGGGAAGGAGCTGGGAAAATCATAATTACGTTCTCAAATAGCATGATGACATGGTAACCATCTAAAACAATTAGGGAACATGAATCTTTCAATCCAACACACTAAGGAAAATAATTCTAGTATGATCAAGTTGGAACTTACACCCATTGTTCGGACACCAGGAGTTCGATTCTAGGAAGAAGAGAGTTAGCCATACATACCTCAATTGCGCTTCTTTAGACTCTACAATTATCTGAAACCCTTAGCAATCTCAATCTATTTTAGCCATATACAAATTGAACCCAAAATTAGGAAAATTTTCATAGTTCTAGTTCACTTTTTTCCCACACTCTTTATCACACATGCATGCAAGATAAACCACCATCTTTCCCATGAAGTATCACCCTGGTACCCCATTATAGCTATGTTTGAAATTAAGAGCTAGGGTGATGAAGTCTTACCTTTTTGGATGAAGAATTTGGTGCTCTACTTGAATATTTCCAAAGCTTTGAGTGATGGTTGAAGATCAATTTGATGAAAAATTAGGCCCTCCCTCTAGAACCCTCTCTCTCACTCTAGAAAAATTATAAATGAGCTTCAAAATAGACTAAAGGGGTGTTTTAACAGAATGGGATCGGGTTTTAAATTAAGAAAAAGGGTGCCCCGACACAGGTCTGCAGTCGCATATGCGACTGCATAATGGTTATGCGGTCCGCAAAGTGACCGCAGAAATGACCCTCAGGGGCCTAAACTTTTGGCCCAGGTATGCGACCAGTATGCGATACTTGTTCTGCGGTCACATAATGCACCGCAGAACTCCATCTCAACTCAAGAGGGATTATGCGATCGATATGCGGTCCGCATAGTGATTATGCGGTCGCATAATCGACCGCAAATCTGACCTCAAATTGGCCCACTTTCTGCTTCACTCTGCGGCCATTATGCGGTCCGCAGAGTGATTATGCGTTCTTCTGCAAAATATTTTCCTCTAAGTCCGTAGGGTACTGTTTAATCCAAAAAGTCCGAACCGCGGCTCGCTTCTACTATAATAATGCAGGAATCTATCTTGGCACTACGAAGCCCCGAGTTTTTGGTTAAAATTTTTACGGGTCCTTACATCCTCCCCCACTTAAGATCATTCATCCTCGAATGAGGATTAAGGTTCACTTAACACAGTTTCAGCTATGCCATATACCATCAGCCCCAAATTTGCCTAACTTCCTGAAAATTTTGCCAGAGTTTCTTTTGTATTTAGGTCTATCCACCTGTCAAAGAGCCCCCAAAGCACACCTTAGAAACATATATAGAATTAAATGACACAACAGAATACAAAATAACACCAATCGAAGCCTCATAGGGGACATATAGCTAGAAAGGAGTGTCTTTATATTAGCCGAACAAGTGATACAAAATTTTGGGGGAGGGGGAGAACTTTATAGAGCTATTACATGGCTATTCAAATAAATGAGGGTACTTCTCTTTCATTTCATTCTCGACTTCCCAAGTAGCTTCTTCGACTTGCTGGTTTCGCCATAATACCTTTACGGATGCAATTTGTTTGTTCCTCAACTTTCGGACCTGTCTGTCAAGGATAGCAACCGAAATCTCTTCATATGACAGTTCTTCACTAACCTCGATGGTCTCAACCGGCACAATAGCGGACGGATCTCCAACTACCTTCTTCAACATGGACACATGGAA